TTCCCCATTAGCCTTGTCCTGCAGCCCTGAGAGGGCTCCAGGGGCCAGGTGGGCAGCAGTACTGCACTGCAGGATGTGCAGCTGGACACGACTGGAAGAAAGGACTGGACATGGCACTTAGTGCTGTGGGTTAGTTGGTGGTATTCAGCCAAAGGCTGGACGTGATCACCTTGGGGGTCTTTTGGTTCTATGTTGGTGCCTCTCTTCACAGACCCTTTTGAAGGAGTCCCTGGAAAAAGCCCAGAAGGAATCGGAGGGGATCGAGCAGGCGATGCGGGAGCTGGAGGAGCAAACACGCAGCATCAAGGTAGTGCTGTGGCCACCCCTGTGCTGGGCACGTGGGTGGGAGCACAGTGGCTCTCATTGCTCTTCTCTTCCCAGGACTCCTCTGAGGAGCTCAAGTCTGGGATCCAGAGCAAATTCGCCCACCTGAAGAAAGCTCTGGAGGATTTCCAGTGTCAGTCGGTGGCCAGGATCGAGGAAGAGCAGGTGGTGGCTCTGGGGCGCTTGGAGGAGAACTGGAGCCTCCTGAAGGACAGGCTGGATGTCCTTGGCCAGCACAGGGAGAGGGCTCAGAGCCTGCTGGCCTGCCCTGACCACAGGACCTTCCTCCAGGTACTGTCCTGACATTGTGTCCCTCCCTGTGCCTGGGCACTGCCTGCCCTGCACCCTTTCAGTGAGGGCAGAGATGTGTTCAGCCCCTTTCCTGGGGGAAACTCATCCTCAGCCCAGCTCAGGGATGTGATGGGGCTGTGGGGAAGAGCTGTTTTAGGGGGATTTGCATGGGCAGTGCTGGGATCCCCCCATCATCCCCTGGGGAGTCCCAGTGTGTGCACTGGAGTCACACAGTCCTCCCCAGGCTGGTGCAGGGCTGTCTGTGTGTCCATCCACAGGAGTTCTCCCTGCTGCCACCTCTGGAGAGCCCGGAGGTGCCGGTCCCAGTGGAGTTTAATGTGGCTCATGTGATCAACCCCATCTCTGAGATCCTCGCCGACATCTCCAGGCTCCTGCTGGAGGACCTGCCTGGCTCTGTGGCCCCCAAAGCCCCCAGTCCTGCTGGCCAAGGTAATCCTTCTGTTCTCAGGGCCACCGAGTCATCCTGAATCCCAGCCTGGCCCATGTCACTGTGCCAGGCACAGGGGGTTGGGCTGGGACACACATCTCCTGTTCAGCAGATGGGGTGGGATGAACTGGGTGGCTTCCCCATGGCCCCTCTTTGCTGGGAATGGTGAACCAAGTGGGTACATGCCTGCTCCCAGGCTTGGATATGCTGGACTTTTTCTTCCTCCTCCCCTCCCATGCAGCTAGGAAGAAACAAGTTTTTGGGTGGCATCACTCAAAATGCCTGTTCCCATCCTCCACAGGCCCAGTGCAGCCCCAGGAGCCGGCAGTGAAGGTCGTGACCCCTCTCCCCAAGTGCCAGCTCCGAGCTGAGCTTCTGAAGGGTGAGGAGCACGGGAGGGACAGGGGGACCCAGCTGGGGTCCCCAGCAGGCAGAGATGTCACCAAGCTGGGTTCTTCCCTGGGAAGCGGATGGTTGTGGCTGGGGGGACAGGGGTTCCTTCCGTGGTTCTGCTAATCTCTCTCCCTAACTGTGGGACAGGGTGGATGGGCTGGGCGACGTTGTGTGGGTGGGAAATTAGGGGGATTAGCAGCACCAGGGAATGCTTTCTCATGGAAACTGGAGCTGCCTGGTATTGTATCAGTCACTGCCCTGCACAGCATAGCCCTAGCCCAGTGCCCTACCTGCAGTCATTGCTCTCTATGTAGGGATTTGGCCTCAGCATTCCCTGTCCTTCACATCCCCTTCCCTCCCCGGGCCCATCCCGCTCCAGTTCCTTAAGGATTTCCTCACTGCTCCTTTTCCCATCTCCTCCCTGTTGGGAAGAGGGTTGGGCAAAGTTTAGGGCATGTTGATCATGTCACTCTTGCCAGCAAGGCAGTCACTGCCTAGGGGACCTTTAATTCCTTCCATTAGTCCCATAAAAATCATTCTTAGGGTTATTAATAGGAAAACCCCCCTTATTTATGGGCAGCAGTCAGGAGCCCAGTGAGCTGTGGGACAGATTGTTGTGGGAGGAAGGTGATGTGCTGGTGAGCAGTGAGTGCCCATGGCAGGAGTTACAACAGCCCATGCACAGGAGAGTAACTCCCTGCAATACCATATTTACTTGCCTGGTGTTCTCTCCCTCCCTCCCCACCCACGCTCATATTTTTTGCTCATAAAACCAAGATCTGTTCTGAAATGACCACAGAGCCACTGGCACGTGCTGGCTGTGAGCTGGGCTGTGCAAGGACTGCGTGAAGCATCATGTCTGGGTGCCTTGCCAGCTGTCTCTGGGCTGCTCCTGTCCCTTCCAGGGCAGGTATCTCATCTCACTCCACTCACCTTCCCCTCCAGACAAATGTGTTCCCTTCTGTTTCTGGAGCCAGCCCTGCCACAGCCTAAACCCCATCACTGCTGGGGGGGGAGGTCTCACACCACGGACAGAAAGATCTGATGAAGCTTTTCAGCCCCATCCATGCCCTTGCTCTTCCCAGACCACCGCAACCTGACCTTCGATCCCGAGACAGCCAACAAGTACCTGGAGCTGTCGAGAGGTGCCCGGAGAGCCAAGCACGGCCCCAGTGCTGTGTGCAGGGGGCAGGGACCCCGCTTCGAGCCCTGGCAGGTGCTGTGCACGCAGGGCTACGGCCCCGGACACCACTACTGGGAGGTGAAGATCTCCAGCCACTCCGTCATCCTGGGGGTCACCTACCGGGGCCTCCCCCGGGAGCAGCAGCAGGGCCACAAGTTCAACATCGGGCTGGACGGGGGCTCGTGGGGGCTGCAGGTGCGGGAGGATTGTTACCTGGCCTGGCACAAGGGCCAGGCGGAGAAAATCCGGGAGCAGCTGTACAAGAACCTGGGGGTCAGCCTGGATTACGGCAAGGGGCTCCTCTCCTTTTACGGCCTCGGGGAGAGGATGCAGCTCATCCACTCCTTCCACGATGTCTTCACGGAACCCCTGTACCCCGTGTTCTGGCTGTGTGAGGGGCGAGTGGTGACGCTGTGCCAGAGGGACGCCGATCCATCAGCCGGGCCGGTGCCGTAGCCAACCTGCAGCCAGGACCTGTCACGGTGCAGGAGGGACCTCAGTGCCGAGGCAGGCATGTGGTGCAATATTTTAAATGAGAGATGATGAGGACCAGACATGAAAATTGACTGGTTTAATTTGCATATGCAAATATCACTCTGCTGATGCAGGGAAGGGGGAGGAGGCAGGGCTGGAGCTCACCGTGGGGGTGAAGCCCCTGGTCACTGTGTGTGAGGGCACATGTGGGTGCCCATCCCTGCAGATGGAGCGAGGGAAGGGGAAGCAGGGAGTGAAAGAATTAGGTTTTCCTCTTTCTCTTGTCCCTTCCAAACCTCCCAAGCCTGGAGAAGATTTGGGGTGAGGGAGAGCATAGAAGGGATGCTGCTGCCACAGTGTGCTGTGGAGCAATGCAGAGGGAGCCCTGTGCTCCCCCAACCTCACATGCAGGCAGGTCCTGCTCCCCCAACCCCTCCCAGTCCCCTCTTGCCACTCTTGGACTTGATGCAGCAACTTTTCAGGGTTCTATGCTGCAGCTCTTTGTAGGATGCTGCTTTTCCCAATAAAGCTCTATTTTCCTACTGTTTTGACCTTGGTGCTTGTGGGAGATACGGGACCAAGCAGCACAGGGGGAAGGGGAGGAGAGCTGGGTGCCCCTGTTCCTGCACCCATCCCTGCAGGACCCCATCCTGCCCCTCCATGTCCTCGAGGGGTTGGTGACTGGCCCTTTGGAGGGACCAGCTGGCTGGAGAAAGGTCTTTTATTTACCAGGGCACTGTGATAAGGAAACTTGGTTTCCTATGGCTCTGCCCCAGGCCTGATCTGGCACAGAAGAAAGTCTGAAGTTTTGATTGAAGCTTTTCCAAGGGCGAGACCACAGGTCTCCTCCCGCTCCTGCAGGAATGCTGGTGAGGGATAACGGGGTGAAACTGGGCACTGGGATCAAAGGTGCTGGGGAATTCACCTTGCAGGAGAATGCAAGGGAAATGAATAACATCATTGTTTCCTTTGGGGGAAAAAAGGCTTCAAAGGATCAAACCCCTTCTGCAAGAATAGATGTGATTTTTCTTGCCATGTTTCCTCCTTCACTCCACACCTCCCCACCCTCCCAGCCCTGTCCTTGGGCCAGCGTGGACCTGGGAACTTATCCAAGTCGAAAAATGGTCTGCACAGGAGGGGTCTGGAGACACCATGCTTATGAGGCAGATCCTCACAATAAAAGCACTTTGGCATCTCCCCATCCCCACCCCTGCTTGGTGCCTGATGGGCCCTGGAAGAAGAGGGGACAGGGACTGAGCCAGCTCTTTTTTCCATGGGAATGGCTGACGTGGGTCCATGGGCATGGGCCTGGCAGGAAAGCACCTGCACTTGTGCACTGGGGGGACCCAGGACATTCCATATGGCCTCAAGGTGGGGAGCAGCTCCTGGGGAGCAGTGGGGTGGCAGCAGGTCCTGGAGGGAAGGGGATACTCACAGGGGACAGCAGATCCCTTGGGGTGGGTTTGGAATGGGCTGGCTACAGATTCCTGGGATGGGAGATTTGGGGAGGGGCAGCAGCTTCCCCTGGGAGCAGCAGAGCCCTGAGAAGAGTCCAGATTCCAGTGGGGCAGATCCTTTAGGAGGTGGCAGACCCTAGTTGGGGAACAATATATATTTATCGTGGTGGCATTCCCCCGAGGGCTGGGGGCAGATTTCCCTGAAGGCAGCAGATGCCGGTGGGAGGAACCAGATGCCCAGTGGGTGCAGATCCCAGGGGTGAGAATTCCCCGAGAAGGCGTGTGCCTGAGCACAAGGTGCAGGGGGTGATAATGCGGGTCAGCCCTCCAGCTGCGGGCGGGGGGAGGCGGAGCGGGCGGGCGGGGCGCGGCAGCCGCCCGCCCCCGTCGGGGCTGGGAGCGGGGCCGGGGCCGCTCGGGGCGCTCAGGGATGGATGCTGCGCCCGGGAGCGCCCCGCCGTCCTCCTCCGCCGCGGCGCTGCGGCTGGCGCTGGCGGCTCCGGGGCTGCCCGAGGGTCCCCTGGGCTGCCCCATCTGCCTGGACGTGCTGCGGGACCCGGTGACGGTGCCGTGCGGGCACAACTTCTGCCAGGGCTGCCTGCGGGCGCTCCGCCAGCAGCCGGGCCCCCCCGACGGCGGCGGGGCGGGCGGGGCCGTCCGCTGCCCGCTCTGCCAGGAGCCCGTCCCCGCGTCCCTGCGGCTCCGCAAGAACCGCGCCCTCTGCGAGCTCCTGCCGCTGCTGGCGGCCGCCACCGGCGGCTCGTCCCCGCCGTCGCCGATGGCTCCGGGAGCCGAGGAGGAGGACTGCGGAGGGGAGGCGGGAGCGGCGGTGCTGTGCGACGTGTGCCCGCCGGGGTCGCGGGTGGCGGCGGCGCGGTCGTGCCTGGTGTGCCTGGCGTCGTTCTGCGGGGCGCACCTGGAGCCGCACCGCCGCGCCCCCGCCTTCCGCGCACACCGCCTCGTGGCCCCGCTGCGCCGGCTGGAGGAGGGGCTGTGCCCCCGCCACCTGCAGCCCCTCGACGGCTTCTGCCGCACCGAGCAGACCTGCGTGTGCGCCCGCTGCCGCGCCCACGAGCACCGCGCCCACGACGTGGTGCCCCTCGAGCAGGAGCGGGAGCACAAGGAGGTGCGTGCGTGCGGGTGGGTGGGTGGGCGGCGTGGGGGTGTCCCGGGTGGGGCGAGGTGCGGCGTCCCTTGGAGGGTTTCGTGCTGTACCCGTGTCCCCAGCGGGGAGCCTAAATCCCCACGTGGGGTGTGTGCAGGTGTCGCGCTGGTGGGATGGCGTGGGTGGGGTGGGGCTGTAGCCGGCACCCCTCGGGGGACCCCACCCCGCATGGACAGGGTGCTGTGCCGTCAGGAAGCCCCGTGAGGTGGGGACGGGATGGGCAGATGGAGGCAGGGATGGGGGCAGACCCGCTGCCAGCCGGCCCCTGGGGATTTTTCTCACTGTGGAAATCCCGTGGGTATAGGCCTGGGGTGGGGGTGCCTGGGACACCCTGCAGTGTCCGCCCCCGCGGTCACGGGTCTCCCGCCTTCCCCATCTTGTTCCCACAGCTCGGTCGAGGCGGTTTTTCCCGACTCCTGGCAGCCTGCCCTGCCGCCGCTCCCACTCCCCCAGCCCTTTGTATCCCGGCGTTTTGGCAGCGGGGTTTTTTTCCATCACTCCCATTCCCAGATGTGACTGAGTCACCTCCTACATTCACACCCACGAGCCTCCCCGGGAGCCGGGGCTCCAAGCCCAACACGGTGCTGCCTTCCTGGACGCTGCTGCCTCAAATGTGTGGGGCCTCTGTGGGGCTTCAGGCAGATGAGAGTCTATGAGGCTTGCGGTGTGGTGACACCCTGCATCGGGATGAGGCATTTGGAGACCTTGGGAGGGTTTGGTTTTTCCAAGGAAGAGCCCAGGGGCTGTGGACATGCTGGCAGGGAGCACAGAAACAGCCCCAAGCCAGCTCCCGCTCTCTCGTGGGTTCTTGGGATTGCAGGAAAACCCTTTTGTCGGCATTATTAGTCATCAGGTGCCTTAAAATAGAAAGTGAGTGTGATCCCAGCCCGGAGGAGCTGTCAGACCTCAGCAGACACTGCTTAACGTTGCCTGCACGGCTTCTGCCACTGCCCTCTGCCACCACCCTTGTGCTGCAGGCTGGGAAGGATGGACGGGGAAGGCACCTGTATCCCCTCACTGGGCACAAGGACTGCAGGGAGCAGGGCCAGGAGGCTGAGCATTAGCAGGGATCTGCCCTGGTTGGGGAGTGCAGTGCCCTCCTGGCTCCCCAGGGAGCTCATGATGGGCAATGGCTGGGGCCAACAATAGCACGCCAGGAAACGACATGTTGGGAATGTGCTTCCTTTGCAGCCACGCAGCACCTCTGTTGGTTTGCTTTGCTCCTAAAGAGAAACCTCCAGGGGACTCTGTGCTGTGTTTCTGAGTGGTCCAGTTCTGCCTTTCAGCTTCTGCGCCACTCCCAGGTGGATTTTCCCCAGCCTTGGGATGCATACTGAGAGCACACACAGCTTAGCTGCACTTGCTGCAGTCACTGCCCCATGGGTTTGCTTTCAAATTCCTGTTTTGTTTGGTTTCCGCTGGGACCAGGGTGTGGAGCGTGGAACTGGACATGACCCTTTGCAGCCCGGCTGCTCCTTTAGTTTCCCAGCCCAGGGAGAAGGGATGTTTGCAGGTTGGATGTGGCAGGGAAGGAAAACAGGAAAACAACTCACGGCTCCCCATGTCCTTCACCTGAAGCCCGACAGCGAGGTCATGGTCAGAGAGGGTTGAACCTGGGGAGCATCTGGGTGTCCTGCAGCTCCCTCTGGGATCGGGGGCAAAGCTCAGTGTTTGTCCCTTGTGTTTGCAGGCCCAACAAGCCAAATTCCTCAGCGATGCGGAGAATGAGCTGGAGGAGCTGGCAGTCACCATCGCACAGGCCAAGAAGATGGTGGAGCTCATTAAGGTGACTCTGCGATGGCTTCGCTCTGTTAGTGCAGCTCTGCTGGGCTGGGGAGCGGAGGGGAAGGGGCTTTTGGGGTGTGTGGGGTGTAGAGTTGGTGCTCACAGGGCAATGTGCTCCATAAAACCACCTGGCAAGGATCCCTGAGGAATCTTGTTCCTCGTCTCTGCTAACCCTCATGGCATCTCTGGTTGCTTTCGTTTGCAACCTGGAAGAAGGAACAGGGCAAGGACCATGCCAGGGCATCCTCTGGCTCTTGCACCTTTTCTCCTGGGGCTCACAGGTCCCCTTTGGCCCTTGTGCCACCATGTCACTTCACTGCCTGGGGACACCAGGCATGGTGCAGCAGTAGGTGGCTGTGCCCAGCCGGATCCCTCGATAGCTGAGCTGCGAAATGATCTCAGCTCTTGGATGAAGGGGGTGATGGGGTGTCAGGGGGACCCCTGATAGAGAGCTGAGAGGTGGGTGCTGGGCAGGGGACAAGGGTGCCCTCCTGCACCTTCACCTGTGGGACCTGACCTTTCTCTCACTGCACTCAGGGTGCTGCCACGAAGGAGAAGGAAAGGGTTGAGAAGCTCTTTGCAGAAGCCTCTGAGGTCCTGGCGACCTTCCAGAAGGAGGTGACGGGTTTCATTGAGGCCGGGGAGCGCTCCATGCTGGGGGAGGCCGAGGCTGATCTCCGCTGGAAGGAGGAGAGACGAGCCAAGCTGGCCCAGTGCAAGCAAAACCTGGAGAACGTCGCCAGCACCGACACCATCTACTTCCTCCAGGTGGGATGGGGCAAGAAGGAGCCAGTAGTATTGTCTTTTGGGATTTTGTCCCATTCCCTGAGGAGCTGGGGGCCAGGAGCCCTGGGATGTGTGGGCTGTAGAGTCTCACCCCTGTTGGTACAGTTCTCTCCCCTCCTCACTCCCAGGAGAAACAGGCGGCCAAGACTTTCTCCCCTCTCCTGTTTGTGACTCAGGGGAAGCTGATGTGCTGCCCAGGCTGGGTACCTGGGTGTGAGGGGCAGAGAACAAGAGGTTGTGGTGCCCCACTGCCCCCCTCTAGCATTTCCCCCTCCCTGACAGCCCAGCAAGAGGAGACCTTTTCAGGAGGAGATGCTGCTCTGTGTGAGGTGGTCATGGTCTGGGTGCAGGTTTGAAAGGGAGCTAAGAGCAGGTTCCAGGAACACGTGGCCGGGAAAGAGCTCTCCTCCCTTGTGAAGGCTGTCCTTGGGCCAAGTCCTGAGAGCTGCCAGTTCCCAAATCCTCCAGGGCTGGGTGAGGTCGCGGAACAAGAGACAACTTTGGCTTGTTTGAAAACTCCTGAAACTCTGTCTTTTTTGGCTCAGGAATTTCAGGCCTTAAAAGTAGCCATGGAAGAAAACCTCTCCCCTGCTCCAAGCTTCCAGAACGAGCTGAACTTCACCAAGTGCACCCAAGTCGTGGGCGCCGTGAAGGATGTGCTGTCCACTGCCTGCAAAAACCAGTGGAACCACTTGCAGGGGAAAGGAATTGACGGGCTGAACTACCAGGAGATGGAGGAAGGTTTGTACTCAGCCAGTCCCTCTGCCCGGAGGTCTCCCCATCACCCTCCCCCTCCTCCCTGCACAGCTGGGAGATGTCTCTGGGCTCGATGTCCCCCACGAGCACTGGCCCCTCTCCCTCCAGCCCTGGAAGCTGCTCAGCACGGGTTCCCTGCACGTTGCACAATCCCTGTCTGGGCTTACGCCTGTTTGAGGTTTTGTGAATTTTTCCACAGAGACCGGAGGCTGGAGAGGCAACAAACAGCCTGGGAGTTAGGCAGGGCCCTGTGGGAGAGGGCAGGTGGCCAAAGTGGCCTCCCATGAAAGGGGACTCTTCTTCCCAGGATAGATGATCCTCTTCATGGGGCAGGCTGTGATCTCCCAAACCTGCCAGGGATAGAAAGCCAATGTGGCAGCTCTCTCCTGTGCTCTCTCATTTAACCTGAGCTCTCTCCTCACTCATTTGCTCAGATTCCCATGGGGAATTGCAGCCAGTTCCTTGCCCCCCTGCCTGTCTCCCTGGGGTGGCTAAAGCGGTGTCTGTCCTTCCCTGTGTGGGAGCCATCAGGGGTGTGCAGGGGAAGTGGGGATGCAGGGGGCACAGCTGGGTACCACCAGGGTGCTGGGCAGGGGGTGATGCTCCAGTAACACCCTTGTTGCTTTGGTTCCTCTGCTGGTGCAAACCCTTCTGTCCCTCTCTCGGCAGCGTTGGCCGAATCCCGGTTTCCAGACAAGTCAAACGATCCTGCCTGCCTGGAGAGCCGTGATTATTTCCTGAAATGTAAGTGAGGGACTTTTGCTTTGGCAGTTGTTGCTAAGGTCCACCTTCCCTTTCCTCTCTCCTTCCCACATGCCCGGCCAGCGCTGATCCCAAGCCCACGGCTGGCAGGAGCGCTGCCGCCACCAGAGGAAATATTGCTTGGCAAACAAGGAAGCCTCCTTGCTTTCCTGACAACAGCCAAAGTCTGGTTACACTGGTGATACTTTTTTTCCCTTGTCTGTGGTTCTGCCGGCCCAGCTGCCCCAGGGGGGCTGCAGACGTCCTGTGTAATTCCTGCCGCCTTCCAGCCCTTGACAAAATTGGATCCTCTGCTAAATTAGATCAGAGTTTGTGCATCTGCCTTGTTTGCTGCAGAGCACTGGGCTGGTGAGGGTCAGCTGCAGCATGAGAGGGATCATGCAGTGGCTGAGCAGAGTGGGGCACAAGGGGCTGAGGCTGGTGGGTGCAGGGCTAAGGCTTGAGCTCCTACATTCCACCTTGTGTCCCTCCAGCCTTACAGGGGTTATGGGGTCACCACAGGGATGTCCACAGGGGACAAGATCTGCCGTGGTGGCACAGTGCAGCCCTCTGGGCCCTGTGCTCAAGCTGGGTGTGCTCTGCTGCTGCTCTTGGGTTGGGACACACCATGTTTCAGATGTGCAATGCAATCAATAGTAACAGATATCCAGGGCTGTTCCCACTGTGGATTCCCTCTGTTTGTGATCCAGTGGTGGTTCTCACGTGGCCTTGCATGTTGGGGGCTACGTCTGCTCCTGTGGGAGCCACAGTGCCATGCAAGCTGACCACAAGGAGCAGTGGGTTTGTAGCTGTGACATTCCTGGCTGGTCTCCCGTCTTCTCAGGTTCCCTCCCTGCCATGTTTGTCTGTGGTTACCTGAAATCAGCTTTTATATGGGATTTTCCTACCACCACTCTCTCAGGTAGATGCTCTGATGTGATGGTATCATGGTTGAGCTCACTGAGCAGCCCCTCTGCTCCTTCCTCTGCCATGTATTCATCCTGCTTATAGGACCATCAGCTCTTTCAGTCCCTGATCCTCATTGACTGAAATTTGACATGGTATTTAAAAGCAAGGGGAGTGATGGGACAAGTCAGAAAGGATCATGCTATTTGTTAAAAGCTGGGACAGAGGGATCAGAGCAGGGAGGGCTGGCAGGATTTCCCTCCTCATCCTCATTTCTCCTTCTTGCCCCACCCAGTCGCCTTCATCATTGACCTGGACAGCGACACGGCCGACAAGTTCATCCAGCTGTTCGGCACCAAAGGGGCCAAGCGGGTGCTGTGCCCCATCCCCTACCCAGAGAGCCCGACCCGCTTCATCAACTGCGAGCAGGTGCTGGGTTTGAACCTCATGAACCGGGGCAACTACTACTGGGAGGTGGAGCTCATCGACGGCTGGGTCAGCATCGGGGTCATCGCCGAGGACTTCGACCCGCGGGAGGCCTACAACCGGGGCCGCCTGGGCCGCAACGACCGCTCCTGCTGCCTCCAGTGGAATGGGCAGAACTACGTGGCCTGGTTTGGGGGCTTCGAGTCCGTCATCCAGCAGCCGTTCTTCCAAACCATTGGGGTCTTCCTGGAGTATTCGGAAAAGGCCTTAACCTTCTACGGGGTCAAGGACTCCAAGATGACCTGCCTGCGGCAGCTCAAGGTCTCGCCTTTCACCAAGGGGAAGTCTGACCCGTTCCAGAACAAGATCAACCACCACTTTGGCTCTCTTTTCTCGTGCAAGCTGAAGCCAGCCTTCTTCCTGGAGAGTGTGGATGCCCACCTGCAGATCGGGCCGCTGAAGAAGGACTGTGTCTCGGTGCTAAAGCGTCGGTAACTGCCCGGACAGCGGGAGCGCGGGAAGGCCCACACGAGTCTCTCCTGCAGGGTATTGCTGCCATCACGGCCTCCCTTTGTCTGTCTCTTTGGCAGCCCTCCCTCCTCTCTGTGCTGTTGGTGACCCAGGGCTGGATGAAGCCGTCTGGCGGGCAGAGCCACGGGCTGGGAGCCAGGAGGGGGCTGGATCCGAGCGCCGGCTCTGCTGCTGGGCTGCTGAGTGAACTTGGGCGAGTCTCTGTGCTGCTCCCTGCCCCTCAGCTTCCCTTTCTGGACATCAGGGACCGTGACAAGCCTTTCTTGGTAAAGTGTGCTGCTCAGGAGAAGTGCCACATGGGTTTGAAGCTGTACCTTGGCCAGCTGCCCGGTCCCCCTCCTTCACGTGTGCTTGCCCTGGCCTGGCGACTTGCACAGATGCTCTGCTTTGTGCCTTGTCTCTGGCTCTGTGTCACTGATGCTTTTTTAAGTGCTGGCTCTTCGACACTTTCCACATGCTCCTTATGAAGTGCCTTTGACCTAGCAAGCCCAGCGTGGGCCAGGTGAAGCCCCAAAGCAGATGTGGTCGCTTTTCCCGTGCCCACATCACCGCCGTGCCTTGGCGTGGGGGAGAGGGATGTGGAGGAGCCTGGCTGGGTGCTGGGTGATGCTGTGGTGATGCAGCACCACTCCTTGCAGGGCTGGCTACCCACTAATGCTGCAAACATGAAACAAAGCTCTGTGCCCTTACTTACACTGCAGCCAGTGGGTATCTTGGATGCTGCTCTGTGGCCAGGCTGGTTTGGGAAAAGCCATGGTCCTGTGTGTGTTGGAGCCCTGTGGCCACAGGTCCGTTCCCCACCACAGCCGAAAATCCCAGCTGGGAAAGGGAGAAACTTCCTGCCTGGACATGGTGAAGGGAGCAGCACAAACCAAATTTTGAGGATGTGCTTTCTGTAGACACATTCCTTGGGAACTGCTTCCCAAAGCTTTACAGCCAGATTTCCCCCCTCGTTTTTGTTGACCCTGTTATTTTAAGGGATTTTAATACTGTTAAACTCCCAACTCTTCAAGAACCCTGGGTACACTTGAGCTGCAAACATGCCCCTTAGCTTAGAGAGTTTTTTTAAGTGACAGAGGTGCTGTGAATATGTCCCAGGGACGAATGGTCTGTTTTAGAGACAGCTGTGATCACATCAATAAAAGATGCAGCATCAGTCAGTTACTAAATGACCGTTTAGGCTCTGGGAATAAGTAACAATTAACAAAAACTACTCTCAAGCAAGAGGGAATACTATTC